ACCAATTTTGAACTCGTGATTGTAGGGAAAGCGAAATCGCCGAGTCTTCGAATGGGCCGTGCCGTCCTCCTCCGCTGTCTTTCCTCTACCGTGGTGGCGTGTCTACGGCGGTTGTCTACTACGCGACAGGTACGCGACGGGGTAGGGGCAGTGGGTAGTGTGCATTGTACTGCGTGTGGGTGTTGTGAGGGAGGGGATGGTGGATGGATGGGTGGAGGGGTGGGAAGAAAAGGAAAAGGAAGGGGAAAAGGAAAGGCGCTAGGTGCCAAGGTCGGGCCGGCGTTTGTTGCTTCCGGCGAGGTGCGTGCGGGTCCGGGTCCGTGGGGCGCCGCTTCTCATGTGTGTGATGGCTTGCTTGGTATTTTCTAGTAGGGAGGTTTTTTACTAGTGATGGTGCGCTGGACAATGTCGCACTGCACTGCAGTGCAGTGTATAGTTTCTTCTCGCGCTGCATTCCCATCTTCGGCGCTTTGTTCTGCTGCAGAGGGACGGACACTGGCTCTTCGATTCTATATTTGTCGATTGTTTTATGGAACGCTACTTCGTAGTTTGTGTCGACGATTAGAAAACTACAGGGTGTTTTGAAGTTAGCATTCGCTTCTTATAAGGCTAGTATGTATCGCGCGTTGGACGATGTTATGCGCTTGTGGTTTTCTGATTGTTGACTCAAACTACAAAGTAGTGTCCCGTAAAGTGATACAAAAGGAAGCGTTGTGAGTAGATAAACAAGGTTAGATAAGTAAGCAAGGCTTGGCGGCCCGCCATAAAACCTCAGTCAGGAAACGATCGCTTTTTTTTGTTGGGACAGTATATGTGTCGTTATGCGCTTAGATGAAGACATCTGGCTCAGCATTTATTTAGGGCATTTCGAAGTTTGGTATTCGAGTGTGCCAGAGGCCAGCACACGGAGGTCGGTAAAACATCCTCTCATTGACGGGGTATATAAACAGTGATGGCCCACAAGCGCATCTGGTATCGTAATTCCTCCATCCATCCCCTCGCACCACGCCAGCCATCCCCCCTCCAATCCCACACGTTCTTGGCAAGCCACCCGCCGTTGGCGCGCACAAAAGCTTAGCCCAACACCCATCCCACCCTTTGCATCTACAACGTCTGCTTGCCCTGCGTCTCAATCGGCAGGAAAATCATGCTCACAAACGCCGCCAAGATCAGCCCGCCCGACGCATAGATAGGCGCCTTGGGGTTCGCGGTGCCCGCGTTGACGGCGACGATGGGCGCGCAAAGCCCCGCGAGGCGGTTCAGCGTGCTCGCGATGCCCGAGCCGGTCCCGCGGTTGGGTGCGGGGATGACCTCGGGCGTGTAGGCGAACAGCACACCGTACATGACCTGCTGGAAGCAGGCTTCGAGACACGAGAAGGCGAGCTGGAAGTCTGGGTCGCCGGAGATGGTGAAGAGGAAGACGAAGACGCCCGTGAGCGCCGTGCCGACGACCATGGTCTTCTTGCGGCCGAGAAACGGGATGTTGACGAGGTAGTAGGCGAGGAAGGAGCCGGGGACGCCGCAGATGGAGGTGATGGCGTAGTTGCGGTAGGTGACGGAGACAGCCGTGGGCTGCGCGCTGCCGGAGTTGGCGAGGTACTGCGGGAGGAAGGCGTTGAAGAGCGGGTAGCCCATGCCGATGGTCGTCCACTGGAACCAGAGCAGGACCATGGTGAGGCCGAGTTTCTTGTCCTTGAAGAGAGGGCTGACCCGCTGGGTGGAGAACTTGCCCATCGAGTTCTTCACGATTTGGATGGTGCTTAGTTTCGTGGTGACGACCTCGTCTGAGATGCCGCCGACCTGGTCGAGAATGTCTTCGGTGAGCCAGGTCTTGGTCTTGTTGAAGTAGGCCATGCCGTGGACGACGGCTACAGCCTCGCGTTGCTTGCCGCGAGAAAGCAGGTACTTGGGCGATTCGAAGAGGTGGAAGAGGAAGAAGCGGCACAAGAACATGACGAAGGTGATGGCGCCCAGGGTAAGGACCAGATACCGCCAGCCCCAGTTCTGGGCCTTTGTGCAAGGGTTTGCATCGGCCGGGCAAGAAAAGTTGGGGATGAAAGCCCAAGCCAAGAGCGAGGCAATCAGTTGGCCGAACGACCAGAAAGCAGAAAGCAGCGTCAGGAGATTGTTGTTAGCGCCGGGAAGGAACTCGAGGAACAGGGCACCGTCGACGGGAAGATTGCCACCAACTCCAAGACCCAAGCAGGCGTACAGTGCGCAAACTCCATACCAGCTAGGGCCACCGCCAGCGGCGAGTCCAAAGATGCCTGCGAACATCAAGGTGAAGTTGAAAGCCAGGCGGCGACCAACAACATCGGATGCAACTCCCCAAAAGCTCGCTCCGATGCAGAGCCCCAAGAAAAGAGCCAGGGTCGTGTAACGGACTTCGTTCTCACTGACGCCGAACTCTGCAGAGAGCGACGGGAGCGTCAGAGCAACGCCTTGGAGCCAGAGGCTAAGACATATTAGCGCAAAGGACAAGAGGGGGCAGAGTCGGTGCACTCACTTGTCTGCCATCCAGCCGCAGCCGCATAGGGCGAAAAGCTGCCATTGGTATCTTCCCATGCCCATGTCGGCAATGGCTCGGTTGATGACCTTGGATTTCTCTGTACTAGAAGTAAGCATCCACGACAAACGGTGCCCACCACGACCGGTCGCGAGACTTACTATCGTAAATCGACTGGCTATCGTTGGCGCCAACGTCAAGGTCGACTTCTTCGCGCAGTTCGGCTACCGTCAGTCCCCTGGTGGTGCCAGCGCGAATGCTGGCACCGCCGCTGTGAGTGTCACTCCCTTTACCTGATTCAGGGCCATCTTTCTCAGCATTGGCCTGCGGGTTCACCGGTTTGTGACGTGCATCTACTATCGAGTTTGCATCTGCAAGGTCGATGTGGGTGTTTGGGAAATCCGAAGCATCGTGATTCTTGAACGGGTTCAGGAAAAACATATTGGCGCGAGGGAGGTTGTTGCTAGGGAGATAGCAGGACACGGTACAGTTGCTGCAGTGGGGTTTGTTGCTAGGGACGTCGAGCCTGCGTGGGCAATTGTTGCTTGGAGATTTGCTGGAGAGTCGCTCGGGTATCGGACCTTCACTGGGTCACTGCAAAAAGATGCTTGTGAAGACGTGAGGGTTGGTGAAGCTTGGTACAGCTTGTATTTGGTGAGGTATGGGCACGCACAATTGAATGTGCAGTGCTGGTGGGGAGATGGTGGGAAACGCGCGAGACGATGGCACTGGGAGACTTCGGGCTATTGATATAGTGTCGAGGCACGTCGCCAGGCGATGGGTAGCAACCGCGGGCATGTCGAAGAGTGGGGAACCTGAATCGAGTGTAGCGGGTGTGGCGGGTGTGGCAGGCCTTGCCAAGACGAGGACGGCCATGACGTCGATCGCCCGCACCGGTGGAAAAGAGCCTTCGTGCAGGGCTTTCGTGCAGGTGCGCGGTAGACCAGCACGGTTTGCCGGCGCAAAACACTGCGGGCTCCTCCGTTTTGCTGCAGTTCCCATTCGCCGGGCGGAATCTGTCACCATCTCGAGTGTGGCGGCGGAACATGGCGAGTGCGTTAACCTCTTTCCGGTCCAGCTTCTTCCGCCAACGCTACGAGCGGGCACTGACGCTGGGCACCGCACTGGCAACTCTGATCTGATATGAACCTGAACCGCCATGATGGTGCTGGACCGGACTGCCTTGCCGGGCGCTTTTCTCTCAAGCACGGTTCTAGACGGTTGCTTTTGCCGCTAGTTGCTCACTCTCCAGGCCGTGTAAAATTTGCAGAGGCAACGTTCCCACCGGCCTGTCCCACCCATTACGTTTCCGATGCCGACGAGTGGGTGTAGACCGGAACATCCGACGTACCCCAGGACTCTGCAAGCCTTCCGTGCATTTCAGCCGCAAGCCTGCAATGCTACTTCCATCATCGCCACTACCCTGCATACGACACTGCATGTCACCAATGTAAACGTTCGTGGAGAGTTGAAGTGGACCCTGGCAACATCGTCCGAGATTCTCTCACTGGGGCCATTCTCACGCAATACCGCCACGCGATGCCCACTCTCCAATACTCGCTCCCACTGCCGATTGGACATCAACACCATGCAGATGCGATGCTTCATCTCCTAGCAAAACCTCCCGAGTGGCGCTTGCTGCTAATGACAGCTACTCCGACTTTCTGACAGGGTAGTAGATTACGGCATCGGAATAGCAAGAGGTGAACGTAGATGCACGTGCCGAGTATCCGAGCCCGGGGGCCTTGTAGATGACAAAGAGGCCCGCCTCCACGGCCCTAACGCTGTGGGCCAACCCACCCCACGACGCCAAAACAAACCTGAGCCCGAGACCGCTGTGCAACTTCTACCCACACTCGAGCCCGAGACCCTGATGCAAGTATGTATTCTACCTACTCCTTCGCCCGCGGCCGAATCCAAGCCATGCTTCCCGCAGACCCATACCTACTCCCTTCTGCCAAAAGTGCACAACCAAAGAATCCCCCATTAAATACCAAATCACCAACAAGCTGGCTCGTAGCAAACCACTTTTCAATTAATCCAAAGCAGCAATCTTCCCACAAGCCCGCTCGTAGCAAAACAAAAACACCTCTTAATCTACCCACCAATGCCCACCTCCACACCCCTACTTAACCATACCAAATTTGATACTTCGCGCGCTCGGGCAAGCCGCGGCAAAACACAGTAAATAAACTCGGTGGACTTAACCATCCCATCCCATACCTAAAAAACTCCCACACCGCACCGCACCGCACGCCCCTCGTTCGTTTCCCCCCACCCACCCCACCACAGCCTCCAGCCAATAAAAACACCCCGCACACCGCCTCCTTCCCTCCTCAGCTCAGCTCAGCTCAGCCCCAACCCAGCCCCAACCCACGCACGCGAGCATGACTCACACCGTGCCACCCCTCTCCCCCAACCCATCCTCCCCCATTTTCTCTCCCGGTATATATGCTTTTCAAAATTGGCATTACATAATACACCCCCAAAACCCGGCTTCATGGTCTAGTGGTGTAAGTTTGCCCTCCTCGCCTCGCTAGCTAGCTACAACGAATGTAAAACTAATATGCACAGATGATTCCTGCTTTGGGTTGTTAAACACAAAGTGCAGGAGGCCCCGCGTTCGAATCGCGGTGGAGCCCGTCTTTTTTTTTCCTTCTTGTTGCGTTTTTATCTCATTAAGAGTGTGATTCTTTTTGATTTGATGCATATGTCCTATGCCGTGCTGTGTGGAGAAGTTGGTTGGTTACATAGTAGGTAGGTAATACCAAATGCGTACTTTTCTCGACCGAAAAAGATAGCCTAGGGCAGGTAGCCTGTGTGTCTAATTGGGTGGACGCCGACTCCACTTCTGTACGTTTTAACGACCTAGCGTTGGAAATTCCTCGCATAGAAGAATTGATATATGTAATTTGCCTTGCCAAAAATATCATCCCGTTACCTCTGGAAAGGATCGGGGGATTGGCGCAATGGTAGCGCGTTAGTTTTCGGTTCTTCTGAAATACACTAAAGGTTGTGGGTTCGAGCCCCATGTCCCTCGCTTTTTGCTCAGACGAATGAACGCATTTGATTCCTGCTCTTTTCTTTTTGCTGCTACCTACCTACCTACCTACCTACCTACCTACCTACCTACCCTCTTTATCTCCAGCTCCAATATCACTTATCCCCTCCATGCATTTCTCTCTCAACCCATACCCACCCCTCCCTCTCCCCCATATCACACATCTATCTACACCCCCAACCCCTCCCCAAAGAACCCCACCGACCTCGGCCTCGTAGCACCCAAACCATCATACAGGTCAATTTGCCTCTTCCCCTCCACAACGTACAGCTCCTTCGGCTCGCCCGCCCGCTCGACAGCCCTCTCGCTGAAGTACCTCGTGTCCGCCTCCCCGCCCACAACCATCAGCAGCGACCGTGGCGAGATCATGTCAATGAAACGGTAGGCGTCAAAATTCGCGCACAGATCCATGCTCCGCGCAACCCAAGTCCTCGGTTTCTGGGGCTGCTAGGTGGCCATATGTTGCGGTTTCTCTTGCTGTAGTATGGCTCTGCATGGCTGTTGCTGTAGATGGCGAGTCGTATATGCAACGGTATATAAGGGCATCGATGGAGCGAAGCGGCATTCCCATGAGTCTACCTGCGTCAGTTCTCCGTCGGACAACTACTGGATGATCATCTTCTTTTTCCTGTCCCTACGATCGCAAAGAAGAGGTGCTGGCGACATCCGGGTTTTGTCCTTGGGTCCATAGGGGCAGTTCCATCGAGCTCATATGAAAACTGTCCGACGTTAATTGTGATTGGTCGGATTTTGCATCTGTGATCGTGAAGGAGAATGTGAACGATCAACCAGAGAGCCGCACACGTAGTCGAGAAGGAGTGGATATCAGATTCTTTTCAGGTACACGGGTTAGAAGCAGACTCCAATGTACACTACATAAGGTTTTGCCGTTCTTCTGAGGACGTAGACACTATGAGCGCATTGATCGATGCATTGGATGTCAAGGACAGGAACCCGTGATCATTCGCAGCGATAGCTTTACCAGTCGTTAGCATTGTCGCCGATCAAATGTGCCGTCTGCGGCCAAAGACAGAGTTTCCTTATTCGATTGCTCTTATCCGGAGGGTTTAACGAGAGAAGCTGCACTGGGGGTATGCCGGCCTCGACCCATTTAATGAGAGGGTCAAGATATTGATACTCGGCCGGGACATCTGACGAGTATTGCGCTGCACCGCAGTGGCCACCTCCGGGAACCATGAACAATCGGTAGAAGTCGCCGACATCACCACCCAATAGTGCTTGGATGTCCTCCAAATGCGATACAGGTAGCTCACCGGCGTTATACGAGTCGCCCCAGCCCTGCAAGGTAAGGAATTTGCCGCCCGTTCGTCTATAAGATTTCAGGTCTGCACTAGTTTCATCGATCAAGACCGAAGCGCGAGAATTGACGAGGTCGACATCTGTGGACCAGTTGAACGTTGCAGGATCCCAATTCAGATCGTCGAAAACCATGTTTCGCAATAACGGCACAGCCTATGCGTTTCCTAGTTCACCCTCTTGCAGCAGCCATTCTCTCTCACTGCCGAAGCTGAAGCCTGGGTAGAGGCTTGCTCCGTTGTCGGCTCGGTGCGGTCCAGCATAAATCTCCTTTACGGCCTCGATCTGATCAGGCGTGAGGCATCGCTGAGGGTCAGAGGATCCTCCACAAGCTAACGAATCGACGTCAAAATTGCACCGCAACGGATCTTCGATCAACCCTTCTTGAACACCGTCCAATGCATCACAGACGTCTAGAACTGCCTGGGCGGTGAAGTTCAGTTGCGCTTGAGTTAGTTTGGTCGCCGTCGTCTGTTGGGTTATCAGCCTTCAGACTTGGAAAGGGGTCACAAACTACTCATATTTGTCTTCTGTAAGTTCCACAGAAACGACAGCACCAGGTGGCTGTACCAGAATCTGGGGGAGCCAGCATATATGCCATCGAATAAATGGGGATGATACTGCGCCAGTGCATATCCCTGAGCACCACCTGTAGAGCATCCAACATAATAGGACTTTTTTGCTACAGTCCCATGATATGCGAAGACTACCTTTTTTGCTGCGTCCGTGAAAAGGCTGATACCATCATGGATCCAAGCGCGAATCTGGTCTGGATTGTGCATGAAGGGGAGATAACCATCTCCAGTGTTTCCTGCAGCTTCATGACCACCGTTTCCTCCAGCCGCAGCGAGCCCTAGACCGGCGTTGGATTGCTTCAGCATCGTTACTGTGTCGATGGATCCTGCGAAACCGCCATTGCCAACGGCTAAGAACCGATGTCGGTAGTCGCACTCGTCCGGCAGCCATACGACAAACGAGAGCGAGTTGTTTGCCCATACGAGACCTGTGCCTGGACTTCACACACGGGGATGTTGTTGAACGTGTCGGAAAGGTTGAGCGAGTTGGTTGCATGGTATGTTGCGTTGACGATGGAGGCGTTGAACTGATGGAGAGAAAGGGACACCAATGCGGCACAGTGTGCAGTCGAGGAAGATGCTGGGGCGGCAATCGCTACGGTTGTTTGAACCAGCAAAATGGTTGCAAGACGACCGAGAAGAGTCATAATATTGTATCGTGAGTTGTTCACGCCCTTGCGTCGGACGAAGGATATAGGCCAAAGCGTCCATTAAATAGACTTTCCTCCATTGCACGGCTCGGCATGGTGCTGGCTGAACATTTCCCCATCATGTTATTTCCCCGGCATTATGTCCGGGGATCCTTGCAGATCGAAGGTTGTTAGTTAGACGTGTCGTCGACGGGTCTCAAGCCGGCTTCGGAGCTGCCCTCTACACAGCAAAGCGCGGATGGGGAACATGGACATCAACGCGGATGTCATCAGAGACTCGTTGAGCGACAGTGGAGTCGAGGGCACGAGTCATGGCAAGGCCGTCTTGATCCGTCCTGAGCGAACTCTCATTTACACTGCTACGTCGAATTCACATGTGGCGTGGTCGTAGAAGGCAGTGAAGCCATCGTTGCGTTGTTGATGAGTACGTCATTTCTACCGCAGCGGCAGACGTGGTAGCCAATTCGCACTGGAGGCAGCGACACAGGTGTCATGCGGATGCGACATGGACGCTGGAAACGATCAAAAACGTAGCCCGGTCGAGACACTTGCAGGCACATGCATTGCGAAGTGTAGGTATAAAAAGGCCGTTGGAGGGTTGGAAGCTGAGGAGCCTCGGCGTGGGGGCACTTCGGACACGCTTGCCCTTTCCTTTTATAGCTAGCGAGAACGGGGATGCTCTTTCTGAATTCGAGGCCGCATTTGCTGACAGCTGGACACACGACGTCTGGACTCTACTCGCCTTTCCTTACGATGCCACGATGAGCGAGTCGCAGAAGCTCCTGTACGAGCACCACGACGAATCCGACTCGGACCCCGGCCACGACATACACCCCTTCCCAACCCGCCGCCGCCCGTCTCCCGCGAGCGCATCACGGTCGCGCTCACGCCAGTCATCCGCCTCGCCAGCGCCGGGCGCCGAACCCAATGGCCGCTTCGGCTCGCTGATGCGCCAGTCGTCCTTTGCGCAGCCCCGGCCAGACGGCGCACCACGCACGCCGAACCGCGTGCGCTTCGAGGAGCCCCGGCGGAGCATGAATGGAGATGCCCAGGGCGGGCAGTGGGTGGAGCTGGAGGAGGACGACTATCTCGAAGCCGGAGAGCAGGGGAGGGAACGGACACAGCGCTTGCCACTGCTCACAGGCATCGAGGCCCCGAGCGTGACGGTCGCGACGGAGGCGTTCAATCCCGAGGACCACCTGGAGAGCGCACGCCCGAGGAGTAACATGCGGAGCGCCTTCGTGAACATGGCGAACAGTATCATGTGAGTGCAACGGCCCCGGAAGGTGCACTGCAATCAGCCGTGGCTCGGATGGGGCGCTGACCATACGCAGAGGCGCAGGCATCATAGGCCAGCCCTATGCTTTCCACAACGCGGGCCTCGTCACAGGCACCCTCCTTCTCGTCGGCCTCACCATAACCGTCGACTGGACTATACAGCTGATAGTCATCAACTCGAAGCTCAGCGGCACCGACTCGTTCCAGGCCACCGTCGAACACTGCTTTGGGAAGTCGGGGCTGGTGGCCATTTCGTTGGCGCAATGGATTTTGTATGTGTCTCAAAGCGACCGATGTGAGGCGGGCACTGACTCTACAGCGCATTCGGTGGCATGATGGCGTTTTGCGTCATTGTAGGAGATACCATACCAAAGGTGATGGACGCTATGTTCCCTTCTCTGTCCGACACGTCGTTCTTGTGGCTCCTCACCAACCGTCGGGCCATCATCATTCTCTTGGTTCTCGGAATTTCGTACCCCCTGTCCCTTTACCGGGACATCGCAAAGGTGAATTGCTACCATTCGACGTGCTGCTCTAGACTAACAACCTGCAGCTCGCCAAAGCCAGTGGTCTTGCCATGATCAGCATGGCCATAATCATCGTCACCGTCATCACGCAATCTTTCCGCATCCCTCCCGAGTCCCGCGGCAAAATAGAAGGTTCAGTCCTAATTCGTCCAGGCATCTTTGAAGCCGTAGGCGTGATATCCTTTGCCTTTGTCTGCCACCACAACTCTCTCCTCATCTACGGCTCCCTGCGCA